CTGACATACTTTGGGCATGTTGCAAGGAGGGACTGGTCCTTGGAGAGGGACATCATGTTTGGGAGAGTGGAGGGACGGTGCAGGAGAGGAAGACTTTCAATGAGACGGATCGATTCTGTGAGTGGAGTGGTGGTAATGAATGTGTTTGAGACAGCGAGGTTGGCATAGGAGAGAACGGCTTTTAGGGCTCTTATAGGGTCACTGTGAGTCACAAGCAACTTGATGGCACATAACAACAACATCCTTTGCCTCTGGGGAGCACCCTGGTTGCACTTCCCAAGCAAGAGAGAACAGTCAAAAAGAGAAGAAAACCCTTAACTACATGGACTGAGACAGTGACTGCAGTGTTGGGCTTGCGCTTGATAAGAGATTGTGAGGTTGGTGCAAGGTAGCAGGTTTCAGATCGGTTCACAGAGTCACTGTGAGTTCTAGTTCAATGGCATCTAACAAAAACAACAACCCCTTCTTGCCTTCATGGCTTTATCTTGAGGCAAACCCTTATATGATTAATATTCTAAGGAGTGCGTGGTCACCTTATAGATCTGTCTATGGCTTGGCTGGAAGTTGGCCCATGGGAGTGTTTTATTCCAAATTTGAAGGATGACTGACAGCCGTAGTGCCTGGGCTTCCACAAGTTTCTAACAAACCAAAAAGCTTGGCTTATAGATTGGCTTGTGGGTTTTTTTAAGATTTTGAATTTTGTTCCAGATTTCTCCCTACTCTCTCCAGGACCAATTTGATCCCTTTGAGAATGGTTCAGGGTGGTAGCTGGTCACCGTCTGATTCTGACTTGAGGTTCACATGGGACTAATTGTTTCAGTACATCTTTGCTTCTCATTCCTTCCTCTTCCTTGTTCCAGACTGGGAAAGACTGCTTCGATGGCTGCTCGGAAGGGTTTGTGGGCCCTGTGACCATAGTCTTTGTGGACAATGCTACCTTCATGAAGTTTTTCAGTGGCTGGGTTGGTTTTTAATAGGAGATTGCCAGACCTTTCTTCTTAGGCGCCTGTGGCAGACTTGAACAAGCAACCTTTTAGTTAGCAGCCAAGTGCATTAACTGTTGGTACTACTCAGGGACTCCGTGTATACTGCATGTTGGGAAAGTATCCACTGCTTGTCCCTGGGAGAGACCAGAGCAGGCGCCTGTGCCAGCAGGTGGTGATGGAGCACCCACAGCGGCCTGGAGGGGCCCCTGAGAGGGTGCCTCCTCCCAGGAGGTGGGGTTCCAGGCCTGCTCACTTGCTGGGGTGAACAAGTGCTGGATTCCAGGGGCTCCGAGCAGGGGAACAAGTTGTTCCTTCTGTTCCTCACAAGAAGCTCAAGGCTGTCAGCTGAGCATTGGGTCATGGTCCAGGAAAATCATGTGAAAGCTCTGTGGTCGGAGTGAGGGGGGATGAGGGGGCGGGTGGTCTGTGGTGGGGTGAGGGGGGATAAGGGGACGGGTGGTCTTTGGTGGGCTGAGGGTGGACCATGGGGTGATCTAGACTTCATGTACTGAGGGCAGGCAGAAGGTGGTCTGTATCGAGTATGAAGGTGGCTAAAGGGGTGATACAGTGGTCATGAGGATAGACGAAGCTGTGGTCTGTTGTCGGCATGACCATCTGTGATGGTGAGAGGGTGAACGGAAAGGTGGTCTGTGGCGGATGTGAAGGTGGACAAAGGGATAATCTCTGTTAGGCGTGAGGGTGGATAATGGGACGGTCTGTGGAGGTCATGAGGGTGGACGGAGGGGTCATCTGTGACAGGCATGAAGTGGACGATGGGATGGTCTGTGGTGGGCATGAGGGTGTACAAAGGGTCTGTGGTGGGCTTGAGGGTAGATGGTTGGGTGGTCTGTGGTGGGCATGATTGCATGAAGGTGTGGCCTGTTGTTGGCATGAGGGTGGACAAAGGTGTGGTGTGTGACAGGTGTGAGGGTGGTGAAAGGGGACAGTGAGTGGCCTAGTCCAGCTGTGGCTTCTACCTTTCAGCTGCTCCGTTTGGCCAGGACACTTCTGGGGCAAAGGCTGTTCAACAAGCTAATGAAGATGACATTTTATGGGCATTTCGTGGCCGGCGAGGACCAGGAGTCCATCCGGCCTGTGATCCAGCACAACAAAGCCTTCGGAGTGGGCTCCATCCTGGACTATGGCGTGGAGGAGGACCTGAGCCCCGCGGAAGCCGAGCGGAAGGAGATGGAGTAAGGCCCCCACGCCGGTGTCTGCACTCAGCCTTTCCTGTGAAGAAACCACACAGGCGCTTTTAGCAGTAACCCCAAAACCCTCACTCCCCAGGCCAGCCAGAACCCCCTAGCAGTAACCCCCAAAACCCTCACTCCCCAGGCCAGCCAGAGCCTCATATGCTGTTCTCCCCGCCCTTTCTGGCTTTCTACCCGGGTGGAGTCAGCCGTCTCACCCTGTGGTCAGCCTTACCTGGCTTTTGCGTTTTTTTTTCTTTTTTGAAATGGTTGGGGACAAGAAATGAAAACAAAAGTATTATCTCAGGGAAATGCTATGGCATTTCCCCATCCACAGAGAAAGTTATTCTGGGTCAAGCCACACCCCTGGGTTTCCTCGAGGCCTTGGGGGTGGGCAGGAAAGCTTTTACTGCCTCTGGTTAGAAAAGCTGTGGTCCAGCCTCAGGGGTTCCTGACCCGGGTAGTGTTCTGATCTACCTGGGGGTGGCAGGGTGGGTGGGGGGGTTGTATGTGCACGAGGGAGAAGCATGGTGACAGACTGGGGTGGTTCCTCATTTGTTCTGGGCGGCGAGGAGGGTTTGCTGCCCAACCCAGGCCTGACAGGACTGACTCACCAGGATTTCTTCCTCTGCAGAATACAAGCTTAGAAAAATACCTGGCGTCCCCAGGGGCCCAGACTCCCTCCCCAACCCCTTTCTAGAACTGTGTGGGGAGTGCGCATTTGTGTTTCACTTCTCAGCCACCACAGCTTTCTGTTCCAGGATGGATGTGGTATGGAGGCAGGTGGAGGACCCGGGCCCCTTTCTGGAACTCTAGGGGTCCCTGTCTGTCTGTCCTCCCGCCTGGAGTGGGGACTACCTTCTTGCCTTCCTGACCAGCATGGAGCCTGCCTCCTTCTACAGGCTCTGAGATAAGCCAGCCGACCTGGACGTCTGAGAGTCACGTGAGGCTTCTGTTTGGACAGGTTGTGTAATGTGCCCCCTGCTTGGTGGGGTGTGGTGTTTGCTGGGCCAGGCCCCAGGTGGCTGAGGGGGACAGGAGGCAGGCAGGCAGGCAGGCAGTCACATGAGGCCTCCAGGCTGGAAATGGGAACAGAATGTCCACGCTTTAGCTTCTGGCTGCCGCCGCCGCCACGGGATTGGCTCCGGGAGGCCAGCCCCTGCCTGGTGACTGGCTGTTTTGAAGGCGATGTTGAAGTGGGGGGTGTGCAGCACCCTTTGTATCCCTGGAGCTCCCCCCCACACTGGAGCCTTGGCTCCCCGCCTTTGCTGACGCCACCTGTTGAATAACTAATGGGTCCTGGGTCCCAGCCAGTCCCTGTGAGGACTCTGGTTTCCGGGAACCATGCTCTTTCCAGAAAGGCTAGGTCCCTGGCTGATGGGGTGTCTGGAGGCACCTGGCCTGAGCTGCCCTGCTCCCTGTGAACTGGGGGAGTCCTTCACCCCTTTCCTCAACAGGAATGGAGGCCTGCCCCTGTCTGCTTTCTGACCCTGAGTGGGGTGAGGGATCTCTCTCTGCAGGGTGAGAGTGGGCCCAGGATTCACGCAGGTAAATGGCCCCCCTGGCTGCCCCCCCCACCCCGAGCTATGCCTGGCCAGGTGGGACAGTGTCCTGCCAGGCTTCACCACTAGCCCCTTCTGTCACAGGGCCCCAGGAGCCTGCCCTGGGGACAAGTGCAGAGACTTATAAACATGGTGTGGGGTGTGGTGGTCTTAGGACACAGCTGCTAACCTCTGTTCATTTTGCAAAGAGGACAGATATCCACAAACAACACAAAAACACGATGTCTGTGAGTTCAGAGGTGAGCTCTGATGGCCCAGTCTGTAAGGGCTTGGACTGCGAACCCAATGGCTGTACCTCTCTGCTGGTTCGAATCCATCAGCCGCTCTGTGGGAAAAAGATGGGGAATCTCTTTCCCTCTGCAATTTCCAGCCTCCGAAAACCCACTGGAGGGTCAGCTGGGAGTTGGTTCTGATTTGTCAGCACTGACTTTTTTTGCATGAACTCAGACATGGCCCCAGCATTCCACACCTTCTAAGAGTTCTAACACTGTTGTCCGCCCCTTGCCTGCAACTACTCTTCATCTGGTTCTGTGACCATGCAGAACTCACAGACGATACTCAGGACTGTGAGGTTTATTAGAGAAGGAATAGCTGTTTCTGAGCTTTTCTGACACAAATATCTGTGTCTCTCTCTCTGTCTCTGTCTCTCTGTCTCTGTCTCTCTCTCGCACCTTTGGCCTCATGGCCTAGGCCCTGCTCTGTCAGTTTTTAGCTGTGTGACTGTGGGTACCTGGCCTAGCTTCTATGAGCATGTTTCTTCAGCCGTTAAAACGAAAGCTAGAAGACTGTCTATACCTCCTCCAGGAAGGATGGAAATGGTCCAGTGCACCGGTGGGCCGTCTTCTCAGAACCAGGGCCTGAGTGGCCTAAGAGGACGTCCGGGTCTGAGTGGCCTAGGAGGACGTCATGGACTGGAACAGAGTGGCCTCTGGAAAGTGCTTAATCAGTGAGACCAGGGTGCTATCTGATGCAGGGGAGGCACTGAAGACCAGGTCACCCCTGTGGGGTCCTCAGGATGGGGCAGCTCCTTGGGATTAGCCTGGAGCAAGGGGCACGGGGAGGGTGGCCAGGTGGCAAGGATTCGCCACTGCTCTGTGCATTCCTTTTCTCGTGCCACCTGCAGTCCCCAGAGAGCAGGAGGAAAGGTGATTTGTGACAGCTCCCCTCACTTTCTGCCCCTCTCGGACAGACGCTGAGCCGGCAGCCACCCCTCTGAGTTCTGAGAGCTGCTTTGATCGAGGCCCGGGCAGTGACCCGGTCTCAAGCTGCCTTGGAGAGGCTCTTGGGACTTGTGTGGTCTTCCTGTGGTCCTGGCTTCCTGCCCTGCTCTGGGTGTTCGTCCCAGGCCTGGCAGGCCAGCTCATAGATGGACAGATGGAAGCCAGGGAAGGGTCATTGCCTGAGGTGACAGCACAAAGTGACACTGGGCATCCAGTGTTGTGGCGTGGCCCTGGTCACGTTGGTGGATGTCCCTGGCTCTTCCAGAAAAGGCTGTGCTGGCACTTGGCCTCTCTGCCCTTGGTCTCATTTTCTGGTCTGTGTGCTGGGGTGACCCGAGCAGTTGGCTCTATCAGCTTATCCCTAAAATGCTTCCCTCTCAGGTGTCCCAGGTGGACACTTGGTGGGCACTGCAGGTCAGCAGCTGGATGGAGGACTGTCCACTCTAGGGGCACCATGCCCTCACCCCACCAGCTGCTCTTCCTGGCTCAGAGGGGCTTCCCACCTGGACTATGTCTAACCACCTGGCTTCCCTGCCATGGCTCGACCAGTGGGGGCTGTGCTGGCCCTCCCTGTAGGCTGGATGGCTTTTGCCTGACTGCACCTGACCACGTGAGGTCACGTGGCTGGCGGGCTGCCAGTGGGCTCCCACGCATCATAGGTACCTGCAGAGGTTGGAGCCCCTCCCTTGTTAGAGCCATAATCTACAGAGACTTGCTACCCTGACATCGAGGGTGACCAGGGGATCAGACCCGTGTGTCCCACTGTGACATCACACCCTGACATCTCTGACCATGGTGACCAGGGATCAGACCTTGACATCCCTTACCGAGTCTCCGAAGGGTAATCAGGGGTCCAGACCCATGTCCCACTGTGACATCACATCATGACACCTGACCGGGTCATATGATGGTGACTGGGGGATTGGACCTGTGCCCCACAATGACACCACACCCTCATGTCCCTGTTCGGGTCTCCTGAGGGCGACTGGGGGTTCAGACCCATGTCCCACCATGACATCACATCCTAATATTCCTGACTGGGTCACCTGAGGGCAGTGGGACACTGTGCCAGCCTCCAGAGGATCTACAGGGTGACCAGAGGGCTAGAGTTGAGCTGTGGTGTGGGCTGGGGTGCCTGGGGCTCCCTGTTCTAATGGATACGTAGAGGTGCTTTTTCCAGATAGGATGGGAAGCTTGAGGAGAGGACTTTAAATCAGAGTGGAGAGAGGAGCTTTGCATTGTACAGGAGCCTTTTCAACAGCTGCTTGGAAAAGAGGTTTTGTTGCTGTTGGTGTAAAAGAAGATTTTTG